AGGGGTTCGAGAGATAGAAATTGAATAAAATCAGGAAATTTCAGTTCCGATCATCATTGTTCTACTATTATAAATAACGGAAGTATATGTTGATGATCCCATTGCACGTTTTCACTCGTATTTTACAGGTAATTCACTTTATTTCAACAACAATGATCATATTTTGAATAAATAAAACGATCTCTTTAAGTTTCAGTATTTATCTGTACTCATTTCATGATTACATGAAACCTAAATAGCAATCGTCGGTATGGCTATCCCCCGGGATTGATCGGGTCCTTCACCAGATTTCTCGTATTAAATCGGTGTTCAATTCTTGAGATAGGATTTCTTGTGCAATGTTTTTCAAAGTGGGATTATGTAGACTCTAATAAAACTTCATAATCTATGGAAAATTATTGACATGTCTCTTAAATTATTTTCTAAAAATTATCGTCTCGCTGTCAAGTCAAAGTCAAAATACGCAATTCGTTTATAATTTACCAATTATATCAACACTCGGATGCTCACAGGTATAGTGTCATCTATGTAAACATCCAGCTAACACCTCCATGCCAGCCCAAGGCTTTCAAGTCCAAGCTGCATTTAATTTTACGCTTGATTGGCGTGTACATATGCGCAATCAAAGCTTCGAGAGATAGAGAGTAAAAAACAATGAAATGTGTGTAACGGGACCCAGGTCTTGGTTCGAGAGATAGAGAACTTCGAGAGATCGGAAGTTCGAGAGATCAGAAGTAAATTTGCTTAGATATAGAGAGGAAAAAACGGGACCGGAGGTTCACTTCGAGAGATCGAGAACTTCAAGAAATCGGAGTTCGAGCCATCGAGAGTCACCTGTAATTTATTTTACCTGTTGACAGTAATGACATTTATGTGTCCCAGTAAATGAAACAGGAAGCTAAGATGCATCACATTACTAGCTGACACGCTGCACTGTTAAGGCTTACTACGAAGAAATCAACGGAATATAAACGTGCATAAATACTTACCTTTTTAAACTGAATTAATTTTTGTAAAGCTACTATATTATCACATGACTTTAATATTAATTGAAATAGTATTGTATACCCCGCTCTGTATTAAATTTGGTTTGGTCATGTTTTTGACAGTCATGTGATAAATGTATGTAATGTACTGTATGTAGATCATTAACAAAGGACAAGATAGGCTAAGGCCCCTTTTTGGCCCCTGGTTTGGGGTGTTATTTAGAATGATGCAACAGTTTATTAAAAAAAAACCTGTTGTCACCCCTGCCACAAAATGAGTATTGGTTCTAAGTTAAGGGATACACAGAGGTCACAGGAAGGTCAGAAAATGTATCATTTTCCGAATTTTCCCATTTTTATGCATATTTTCATCGATTTTATAGCACATTTTGTTTCAGAAAACATAGAGCACAAGCTTGCCTATCTACCAAATTTGTATATTTCATACACTAGTATCAGATGCATCTTATGTACAGTATAAAAATCTCTGATAGGCAAGCTTGTGCTCTGTGTTTCCCGAAGCAAAAAGTATCTCAAATTTGACGAAATTCCACCAGAATTGAGGAAATTCGGGAAAATGTCCTACTTCTGCACCCTCTTGTGGCCTCCGTGTAAGCTTTGAATCAAAATTAGTGCTTGTTTTAACACAAGCATCGTTTTAAGTTCTTAACTACAAACTAGACACATTTTAACTGTGTTCTGCTTTTTACATCCAATAAGGTGCCGGATTCGGCCATAACCATACCTTGTCCTTTAAATATCGCAAGGGCATACCCTAGTTAAAATTCAAAAATTTAAGTAATAAATTTTTTCTACATATCTTGTAGTTTATAGAAGGCTGCTGCTTTAAATAGAATTTGCATTTTATTACTTTGAATTTCAAGTTATTTAGCTCTAGTCAAAATACAGTGCAGGAAACTAATTTTGTTACAGCATCAATGCTGATTTGAATGCTTCCTTTGCTTGCTGATTTGAATGCTTCCTTTGCTTGCTGATTTAATGCTAGTAATCCTTATCCTGATGCTGTTTTATAATTAGGTCAATGCTACCGGAAGTAGCATCATGCTACCGGAAGTAGATAATGAATTTCAGCATTGCCGTTTAAAGCAATAAAAGTGCCTTTACAATTATTTGATCATAATATCTCACTATGTATCAATAATGTGAATACTTTAACCAATATTCTTTCTTTCTTTTTTAATTTTTTACTGAATTGAAATTCATTGATTTTCTGATGCTAGTAGGATAATGCTGATTTTATGTAGATCAATGCTGGTTTTATCCTTTGCTTGCTGATGCTGATCCTGGTAATGCTGTTTTTTAAATGCTGATCCTGATGCTAGCTCGATCCTGATGCTACTAATGCTTATGCTGATGCTGGTTTATGTAACAAAATTAGTTCCCTGCACTGTATGTTTGACCTTTATTACCAGGTGTTTTACGTATTCATTAAGTAATGCTCTCGATTTCAGGGATACAACTGCACTTTTCAAGTTAAGAATGTTTCCTTTAAGTATATATATAAAAAAATGGTCAAGATCTATTAAGTGTATGCCCTTTAGGGGGCCTAAATTATACGGAAAATGTAAATGTACTGCCCCTTTATGCAGCCTTAACAGAGCTGTGCAATTCTTTTCGGTGCAGTAAAAAAGTTTATTTAATTACATACATCGTAAATTGAGTTTTAATTCAATTTAAGCACCTACTGATATAAATATATGAATATAAATATGTGATATACATGTATTATATCATATTATATATGAATTTTATTTCAATTTCAACACTTACTAACAATTTATTCACTTCCTAAACTTTGAGGTAAATATAAGCTACAAATTTTCAGGTAGCATATTTTATCGTAGAATTGTAATTTACTCTTTCAGTAACAGAAAAATATCATCTTGTAAAACTTGATATATTCATATAAGACGGAGAAATATTTAGATGCATTGGTTGAAGCAAATATGCATTATCACGACCATACATATACATGTAAACATTGATGATGCTATATTTTTTATAATACTGTATAATGAGTAATTTTTGCCCTGTGTTTTTTTTTTGCACTTGCCTGTCTTAAAATTCGACCAGACACTGCCGTGTTTTAGAGATAATGATTTTAACTTTGAATTCGCCTTATTATAAATTCGCCGCCTGCGATGAGGGCGGAAAAGGGGCGAAAATAAATTGGGGGTAAAATTTCCCCATACTAGTACATGTATATAGTACTGATAACATTCTGAAAAAAAATCAACGCTCAGCTCTTATCGTTTTTATCATAAACATTTAATTTTTTTAGTAAAATGCAGAGTTTTCATATAAACAAGTCTTTAAAGCAAAATAAAATTATAAAAAATAGAGCTCCTATTATTTCTTTTAATCAAATTGTCCTCACCACAAAAGGTTAGACTGAATAGACAACGGGTATAACTTAGTTTTGCTAATCACTGAAATCTTAGTATGACGAGCTTTGGATTTGTACATGTCATTTTAAAGCACATTTTAGAATGCTGTGATGAGCAAATTGCAAGTAATAAAAAAAATATTTATTTTGAAGCATAATAAAACATAATGACGTTATAAAAACAACGAATTACCAGAAATAATCCGGTACATGGATTGAAAAAAGATACTTTTTTGTAATTACATTGTAATTAGTCCAGAGTAAAGAATATATAAAATAGTTCTGTAGCAGCAGAATATATTGAAAATATACTGTACAGCCCAGTGGGCTAATTTTTTTTGGTGTTGCGGTATAGCTAGTCTCCATCGATTTCAGGCAAGTTAAGCTGCTGCGAGCATGCTATGAAGAACCCTTTGATGGGTGACTACTTCACGTTACAAAATTGTTGGTAGTGTAGTGACTCTGGTGTTTGGCGACCTGTTTCAGGAAGGAGCTAGGACGTTGTGTCCAGTTACAGACTTAGTATCTGTGGACGGCATGGGTTCCGTTTACTGAAGTGTTCCTAGACCTGCTTCAGGAAGATCTAGGAGTAGGACTATGTGTTCAAATACGGTCCTAGTGTCCGTAGACGCCATTGGTTGCCGTTACTGAAAAAGCCTTAACACTCAGAAAGAACCCGTACTAGGCTTCGGGGCGGAACTTCATTTAGCTAAGGAGAGGGGAATGGTAAAACTGACGGAATACTGCCTCGCTAGTGGGTTAGCTGATTCTTGTTTTGCGGTAGAGTCTCCCTCGTTTCAGGCAAGCTAAGCTGCTTCCATGCTTAAGAGCCCTTGGACCGCTTTACATTTAAGTTCAATATAAAAGGATTATATTTTCGTACTGAGATGAAAATTGCCCTTTATCTCTAGTTTGGAAATTTTCTTAATTTACAGTAACATTTAAAGGAGATCAGTCATAGTTGAGTTGGAAATGATAGGGAAGTTTAAATCAATAATTTCTCTATATTTACATTCAACATGTATTTTGCTTATAAAGTATGAGGAAAGCTACGGCATTCAAAACACCATAACACGGACAAGGGGTCAAAAGGTTAAAGTATGCGTTTTATTTTGACATCACAAACGTTTAACGCCGTGGAAGTGCAACGGTGTGTGCAAACAAATTTGCATAACGCGCTAACGCGAGTTACTCAATTTATGCAGTTACGAGACGGTATTTTTCAAAAAAAAAAAAATGATTCAATGCTTAAATATCAAACGGAAAATTAAATGATTTTAAAGACATCATTCAATAAACAATTGATTGTATAATACCTGTGAATGCCTATGTTATGACAATTAAATTTTCGAAACATTTTTAACCATATTAGATGTAGGTATATGGATATGTATTGTTTACATGATAAATATAATAGCCTTGTATCAAAGACAACTGGTTTCCGTGATATAGTTGTCTTTAGTAGAACATATCTTACTGATCAGTCATGTGGTAAAAAACATCGACTCACTTATTGATTAAACTCCTTATGGTCAGCAACTTATAATATATCTTATATTAGGTCTGTTCTTTGTATTGAATTGATGTATATTTTTTTCATGTTAAAGGTAGTTTTGCTGGAACAGTGTCAACAGCAGGCTCTCTCACGGCCATTATTGGAGGTTCTGTGGACTTCACTTGTACATATACACTAGACTCTGATGATACAGTCTATCCAGGATCTATTTCTTGGCAAGTTAAAACAGGACCAGTGGGTTTTTCGAATGTAGCCTCTTTTTCTCCTCCTGGAACAGGTGGTTCCAATTCCTTTACAGACTTTGCTACTGAATATAAGAATCGATCCGAATTATTTAATGTTACAGCTAATGGAGCTAATTCTTATGTTGCTGTTATGAGAGTTAACGAAGTGTTGTGTTCAGATGAGAAGTACTACAGTTGTTCTGTTTTATTTATTAATACTGAATCAGGCCCCGTAACTATGACAAAAGAAACATCTCTCACAGCTAAAGGTAAGTATTTTTATAGTCCGATTGAATGTATAATGATAAATGATATATGCATTAAGTTAAAATTGTATTAACCACGAGAAAATCTCTTGGTATGCAAATAATATTATAATTATAAGTGTTTAACAACTTTTCTGTAAATGTTTGATAATATATAATTGCAGCACCTGCTGAACAGCCTTATGAAATTCCAGTTCCTGTACCAGACAATATAGAAGAGAACACGGAAGTGACTTTTTCCTGTACAGCAAATGTTGGAAAACCTCCAGGACAAATCAGATGGTGGCGCTACAGGAAAGGGATAACCGCTCCACAGGAAATGTCAGGGGTGTCTACGAACACTCCACAGATTCAGGAAGGTGTGTGCGTCTACAACGTGACCAGCACAGTAACGTACACCATGACAAAAGACGATGACCAGTCTGTGTGGAGATGTTTCGTGGACAATGAACTGTTGACAATGCAAGATCGTGACAAACCGAACCAAGAGTCTAAAAGGGTTAACGTATTTTGTAAGTATATACTATCATTCCAATAACAGCGTGTCACTTTGCTTGATCGACCGTAGTAAAATTTCACAAATTGATTACCATATTATATTCATCGATTGGATGTTTGATTTCAATGGAAGTAATACTACTTTGCATATGAAACACAGAATCCAACAATACTCTGATAATACTGGCCAATCACATCGAATGATCGTTTACCAGTACGGCATTTGAGGTCAGCAGCAACACGTGGTCAGTCAAAGCGTTTTCTGTCCTCCAAAAATGATTTGTCATATTTGTTGTTATTTGACCGGATGGGGTTAATACGTATAAGAAAATTTAAAGCATGGAATTAGTAAGGCTACTCTGCTATAGCTACTATTATACTATATAGTTATCGATGTCATCATTATAGGAAGTAAAACTTGCTTTGCCTGTCCGCATGTAATTGTTGTTTACTGCATACTCGTGAACACTCATTCAATACGATTGGTCAGTATTGTCAAGGGTATTGCTGGGTTCTGTGTTTCATATGCAAAGTAGTATTGATTTCATTCAAATCAAACATCCAATCGATGAGTAATATGGTAATCAATTTGTGAAATTTTACTACGTCGATCAAGCAAAGTGACACGCTATTATTGGAATGATAGTAAATATCCATAGAACAATTTAAATCCTTGTAATGTCACATTTATTTAGCATTTACAGCTCATTAGAAGACGTGTGGATATACCGTGTATTAAATTTATGTACACAAAGATGTCATTTTATGAGTCTTGTCAGCCGTAATCATCAATTATATATTTACAGTTAAGGTCAACGTTCCCAGAATAAGGAAGGTACCAGACACCGGTGATAACTCTCAGTATTCTGCTGGTTCTTCTGTGACCTTGATCTGCGAAGCTGAAGGTAATCCAACACCAGGGAGTCACACAAATACGGCTGTAAACAGGTATCAATGGACATTCAAAGCTAGTCCCAGTGACGGTGCTAGAGAGCTATCATCCAGTAATGGGACACTGACTCTGACAAATCTTCAGGAAACTGACACAGGGACATACACTTGTACAGCATTTAATGGATTTCAAGGGAAATTTTTCAATGCATCTAACGACTTAAGTTTACAAATTGGTAAGGGATGGTTTCATTTTCATTTTTTCCATTGAAATACAGGTTGTTTGATGGAAAGTTTTATGCTCTCAGTATTAACGTTTCTTTTATCATGCCATATGAATGAAAAATAAGAATATGTATAGAATTTGTTTTCTTTCTAAAATTTTCTTCTTTTTTTGGAGGGTGTGTGTGTTAAGATTGTTTGTTTTATCTTCTCATCTATTTTGTATAATTCTGCAATTCAACTGTATGCTTGTGTTGAAGAAATACAGGCAATGAAGCTTTACAAACCAAAATATACATTGTGGTAACCAATTGGTAACTTTATTATATCTCACATTTTATTTATACAAGTTTATAATGAATTATTCCTTAGCTGGTTTATTACAATATTACAAAGATATATGCATATAAAAATGAGATATAAATTTATTTCTTTTATTCAAATATTTTTGATAAAAATAAGAATTTCAAAATATCACCCCTCACCCCATTTTAAGCCTCGAGTTAGTGTTACGTGCTTGCCAATCAAGACTACGTTTCGCTTCCCTTTTGGTAGTGAAGACCACAATTACCACCTCAGCAACTACTACACATAATTTCTATACTACTGGATCTTCTGGAAGACCCACCACAACACCACAGGGAGGAGATGGTAATGTTTTATCATGCATGCATCTTATTTTTCACGGGTTTTATTTCATGTATCATAATTATCACGGAGGAAGTATAGTTTTTGTTTTTATATGTTGTATTGGTCAGTTGAATACGGAACTAAACCAGCTAAGTTCAGTTCAAGAAAAAATGTTTAAATTTATGAAGTTTGCACTCACAAATAATTGGGTATAAATGGAATTGATTTGCATTCAATTGCAATGCTTTTCTTGTCTAAGACTCATGAAAGTAAATTAATTTTTTTTCGCAATCAAAAACACAAACTTTAAGAACATTGTATTTAAAAACAAACTTGGGTATACATGGAATTGATTCGCATTCAATTGCAATGTTTTCTCGGTTATGACTCCAAAAAGTAAATTCATTTTTTATGCAATCAAAAACACAAAGAACATTGCGTTTAAAAACAAAATACTTTTTACATATATACATAATTCTTATTACGATTAAACTATTATACATCTAATAATTATGCATCTAATAATCTTTTGGAATAAATCATTTCTTTTTAAATCACTGACTTTTATCGATGTTTTCCTGTGAACAGCTGAATGTATTTTGATCTTCATGCTTGATGTGAGTTGTCCGCAATTGCTCTGGACGAATACTCATTGAAAGTTTTTCATCATTTTAGAGAGGAATTGGCAATTCTAATGTTCTTTGTCCTTTTTTCGACAATTCGCTTATCATTTTCACTCATTCGCTTCCATTACTGTCAAAAGTTTTTTCCATTCCGTTGCAATTTTTATCATGACATTTATTTATATCTTAAGAATTTCGGCATAAACTTTTTACTGAGCTGAGTTTCCTTCAGATTTAATCTAAAACAAATAGAATTATATTTCAATTCTTAATAATTATCAATGGACCTGAATATAAGCTTATAAGCTGAACTAAAGGGTTTTGAAATTGATACTACAAATGTCTTGTATCAAGATTTATTTCGACCGAAATACCAAGCGGGGAATTCCAAACAGATTGTTGTTTTACGTTTTGCTAAGAACGAACTTTCGTCTCCAGAATTTCCATTACAAATTATTGAGTGTGATGAAAAGCTGTGTGAACTTCACGTAACAGAGTATTTGAATGGCTTTACCTTTCACTGTCATTGATAGCCTGTGTCATTAAATGTCACTTGACTAGGTTACAAATCAAAAAGCCAAAAGATGACAAAAAGTCAACAAATACGAACGCCTGTTTGTGCAGCATAGAAAAAAATAATAATATGATATGTGATTTTGTTAATTTTAACTATGAGAAGAATATTTCATGGGTAGGAAGACTTTTCTTTGTTAATTCAGTGACATTTTTGTGAAAACGTTCAGTTATAAAATGCTGATTTTCAGAATCTTATGGACAAACAATCTTATGTTCTTAACGGAAATAAGTCTTTTTGTCGTTAAAGAAATTTTGTTTTGTTTAAGTAAGATTATTTTGTTTTTTTACCACCCTTAATGTCCACAATCATTACACTGCTCTGTGTAACTTATCTTCATTAAGTTATCATGGACTCCAACTTTAATGGAGGAGATGAATAAAGCTTTCAAATTGCATTTACGATTAATGAATATTCGACAGCATCTTGTCAAACATAAATAATAAAGAAAAAAGCAGGCATTATAAATTTTACATAAAAATATAACTGTCACCAAGTTAACTGAAATGAAAACCTTGGAATCTGTTTGCCAGTTTCTTAAATTAGTAAAGTTCTGTAAAAGCAAAAACGGTACATTTTGATGCAACAATCTTATCAGATGCTTCCTAGTTTAGATTATATGTAAACTGATATTGTATCATTTGTATTTTTCTTTATAGGCTTTCAAGCGTCACAATCAAAATTAGAAATGATCGTTGGTGGGATGATCGGGGGAGTTGTGTTAGCTGCACTTGTTGCCCTTTTTATCTTTAACAGAAAATATCAAATTTTATGTGTTGGTGAGTATTTTGTTTTTATTATTAATAATCATTATTATTTTACTTCTTAACAGTCAATTCGCATTGGTTGACATACTGCTCTGGTTAATTTCACTTTCAGAAAGAAAACCAAATTAAAGGTAAGGGCGGTAACATTACATGTAATACTGAGTCAAAACTTTTCTAACTTCCATAAAGTTTAATTAAGAACCATAGAGAAATAAATGAAAAATTGTAACTTACTGCTAATTACAGTGGTAAAATAATGTTAGATGGTTATGTCAGGAAATCCAAATTTATTAACTATGTCAGATTCTACACACTTTATGGTTATCAATATCCTTTATTCTGCAAAATCAAACTTAAGCTTTACTAAAAGTTACAAGATTTAAAAAAAAAAAATCAGACGTATTCTTTTTGTTTTATTGAATTGAAAATTTTATTGTAACCATCTAAAAATTACAGTCGCCCGCGTGGCGCAGTGGTTAGAGCGTCTGCTCTAGAGTCGCGGAGTAAGGAGTTGATCCTTACGTCGCGGGTTCGAATCCCACTGTGGTACGTGGAGACCGGTCCTTTGGATGAGACCGTATAAACCGAGGTCCCGTGTCGCAGTAGGTGATGGCACGAAAAAGATCCCTCACTGCTCAATGGCCGTAAGTGCCGAGTATAGGACAAAATTTGCAGCTCTCCACCGGCAAGTGGTGGCGTCTCCATATGAGTGAAAAATTCTCGAGAGTGACGTTAAACAACATACAAACAAACAAAACAAAAATTACATATATTCTGATATTTGCTAGAAATAAGTTCATAAGCTACCATGAAATCACTAATTTTTTTCCTTATGTGTTAAATTTCAGTTGTTTTCGTTAAATGAATATGAGTATATGTTATATAAAGAGGCTATTGAATTCATACTCCACGAAATGTTAAAATTTCAAACTACACGTACAACATGTTTGTTTACTATACACGATATCAAAATCCTATGAATCAAAATAATATATTCCTCAAATCACAGAAAAAAAAATGACACCACGAAAATAGTGATTTTACAGTATACAGTTTTTTGACACTTGGTAATCGGACTTTTTCTACAAATTGTTATGGAATTTTCAGTAAAACAAGTTTTCCATCATTTTTAACCGAAGTTTCTTCAAATTTTAATAAGATTGATACATAATACTTGTACATATTTATTACACAGTAGCAAGAAAACTGAAGCGATAAACAATATCTCAGAAACACCGAGTAAGTAATAAATCTATTCAATTGCTTTTCATTTTCATTTTGAAATTAGTAAATTTCATTTTCTGAAACTTTTCCCCTTAATTGTAGGTCTTGAAATGGAAAAGAGGTAGCGTATGCTTTATCGTCAGAAAAAATATTAGCATATTAAAAGACGTCTCAAAAGCATTGAAAACAGAAGGTTGACATCAATGTACATTGTAATAATCTGGAATGTAGCCAAAATATTGCATTAAGAAAAAAGTACGGATATTGTTTTAAGATGCATATGATAGGAATGGTGGAAGTCTGAGTCGTATTCTTTTTACATGTATCCCCTTGCTTTCACTGAAAGTAAGAAATATTAATTTTGGACTGTTTGTCTGCCGTCCATCCGTCTATCTGCCTGTCACTCTGTCTATATATAACACTCTCATTTCCGAACGATACCTCAAAAAGAATTAGAGCTTTTACAATAAAATTTTAAAACTTAACTTCCTCCAGCCTAAAAGAGATCCTTTTCGATTTTGAGGTCAACAAGTCAAAGGTCAAGGTCATTAATTTTTACATTCTGTCTGTGTGTAACACTTTCATTTCCGGGCGATATCTTAAAAAGTCTTTGAACTTTTTGCAATAAAATTTTGTATCACAACTGTTTATGGTCTATTGAAGACTCCTCTTGATTCTGAGGTCGAAAGGTCAAAGTCCAAGGACAAAGACTTATTTACAACATTCATAGTTTTCAGAGTATAACTCTGTAAGCTTTTGCAATGAAACTTAATCACAAATTTCTTTAATCTAAAAGAAAACCTTAATTGACTTTAAGGCCAAACACTGAAAGGACAAAATATCTCCATTTTTTTTTCACTTCTTCCAACCACTTCTTTTTTTCTTAAGCAGGGGACACAAATTCTTAGAAATAGGTTATTGAAACTCAGGAAAATTCAAGCTTCTGTTATTTGAAAACATTTTGATTGTAAACGTTAAGAGCAGTTCTAGAGGGTAATACAATAGAATATATAGGGTTTCCCAAGGTTGGTGGCTGGATAGGATTTTTTATTAAAAGAGTTTTGTGTTTTAAAAACGCGCAACGAGTTGGATAAAAAATCTTATGTAACCACAAACCATGAGAAATCCCTTTTATCATATGTTTTACACATTGCTATCACATTTTTATATCAATTGTATAAAGGAAATCGCCTTGATAATAATTTACTCTTGTGTGTTACAATTATTTTTGGTGTTTTGCAGCTAGCTATAGTGAAGAGTAATTTTTTTTCATTTATGAAAGGTTACAAGTAGATATGTAAATAATGAATTGTTTCAAACCTCAAATTCATTCATTTAGCGCTCAGTATGAAGAGCTGAAACAGATCACTCGGGATCAGGAAAACGGCTATGACGTTATTAGACCACCAAACAGTAAGGACATTTTGTATAATTTAATTTTAATGATAACAATTTAAAAAAATCTATATTCCATTTTCTTTCGATTTTTTGTAATCAGTATAAACATGTAAAATATAATTACAAATGTCTTCTTTGTTCAGGAAATGGATCACACGGGTAAGTAGTGTTTTTTTTTAAAGCTTGGTGATGATTTGGAAAAAAGATGAACGGAAATAAAACTTCATCCATAAGAAATTAAAATAAAAAGCCTGGCAAGTTTGAATTTTGACATACGTTAATTTCATTTGGACGATTTAGTGGAACATACGAAGAACTGCAACACCGGAAAGAGGAACACAGATATGAAGAACTTTCAGACCCAAAAAGTATGTTCAACTTCTTAATGTGCAAACAAACAGTTTAATGAATTAAATGATTCACGTTTTCGAAGCCATCATCCACACAAAAACGCAAATGATGGGTCTGCATGGATAAGGTCTTAATCACAGTTTACCTGATTGCACTAACAAGCTTCAATCATACGAATTTTCCGTTAGCTCACTTTTGTCCGTTTCTCTTTCGTAGAATACTTACAATGCCGAGCGAAGATATTTTTGAGCGCGTTCAAAGTTTGGAACGGATCCGCTTGAATACGGTATTGGCCGTTATAAAGTCGATATGAATGCTTTTGTTTCGTTTCTTTTCCTGTACATGCGTTGATGACTGATGACCAGAGGCACTACTGGACAATTTATGGGTAACGAATAAAAACGGAAACGCTCTTGACACCGACTGGACGACCGAGTCTACATAATGTAACCTTCGAAAATTGTTCTATCAGTTTCTCGTGCATTACGCATTCTTTTACACGGTAAAGTATACTTATTCGTTACTGAAACTTTGAAATCCATACGTCGACTGTTGCTTTGCGATACATGTATGTTCATCATACAGTTTTGGCTCACCTTAGCCGAAGGCTCTAGTAAGATTTTCTGATCAAAATTTGTTCGTTGTCTATCGTTGTTTGTCATCAGCGTCGTAAACTTTTCATCTTCTTCTCCTGGACCATTTCGCCAATTTCAACCAAACTTGGCTCAAAGTATCCTTGGTTATAGAGTAAATTTCTCCAAAAAAAGGGCCACTACCTCTTCCAAGGGGAGATAATAAAGAAATATTGAAAAATAAATGGGATCATTTAAATTATCTTCTCAAAAACCACTGACTTAAAAATATTAAAGTAAAGTGAAATCTTTCTGAGGAATTGTACATTCATATTTGCATGGTCAAATCATGATCTTGGGGTTAGGCTGGAGCTACTATCCCTAACAAAATTTACTATAGTTCACTATAGTTTACTATAGTTAATATAATTAAAATGAAAAATTTGATACTTTGATTTACTGTGAAACTTTACTCTGGAACTGTTGTTGAGATTTCAAAGTTTAAAATCTCTAAAATTCGATAACAGTAATGTAAAATTTGGAAATAATGTGTGAATATTCAAATAATATTTCAATTAAATATTAAAAAAATGTGCATGTATGAATTGAAGAACAAAAAAATATAACGATCTGAAATCCATAGTAAAAATACTTTGATTTACTATAGTGAAAAAACTTTGATACTACAGTAAACTATTGTTAACTATAGTAAACTATATTTTGTTAACTATAGTAAACTATATTTAATTATAGTTAACTATAGTACTTTTTTGTTAGGGATTGGCGACCAAAGTTTAACAAAGGAATGGATAAGAAATATCTTTAAGATTGCTTCTCAAGAACAGCAAAGTCATGATTACATTTATATGGACTACAGAGTCTGACACATCTGTTTCATATTTGGATAATTTACTTGAAAAAGATGTTAATGATAATCTAACACCAAGCTTTATGATAAACGTGATGACTTTAACTTTTCAATCGTCAACTTCCCTTACTTATGCAGCAATATACCTTCATCACCTGCATACGGGGTTTATATCTCTCAGTTGATTCGATACGCAAGAGCATGCTCTACGTGTGTACAATTTCTAAAACGAGGTAAATTATTGACAAACAAGTTGATGAAACAAGAATATCAGCAGTCTCGTTTAAAGTCATCATTTCGTAAGTTCTATGGTCGATACAATAACCTTGTCAGCAAATACAATTTATCATTGTGTCAAATGCTGACTGATGTTTTTCATACTAATTGTTAGGCCATTATTTACACACTGAATTGTCGACGGATTTTTCCGTTATTTCCCGATCATGACAAGGAGCACACGGCGGGTGTGACCGATCGGAAGGGGACGCTCACTCCTCCTTGGCACCTGATCCCACCTCTGATGTTTTGGAGGTCCGTGTTTGCTCTGCACCTATTTTGTAATGTTTAATGGACTTTCGAGCTTGAATACTGTTCGTTACCTCCATATATTTCATGGAAGAATCCTAGTGGAAATTCGAGTTTATTAAAACCATGCCCCGAGGGCAGGGTGGGGCCTTGATGTGAGATCGAAGGATTAATTAAGGAATAAGATTAATAGCTACTCATTTTATACGGTATAATCTGGGTTGACACAGTTTACGCTAAATAAACTGCGTCTTATCGATTTACAATTATAGTTACTTCCGAGTCGATATATCCCAGTGAGCTTGAAAAGAAAGATACACCACAGAGTCTAACACATCTGTTTCATATTTGGATATTTTACCAGAAAAAGACCCTTATGGTAACTTAACAACCAAGCTTTAACTTCAACTTTTTAATTATCAACTTCCGTTACTTATGCAGCAATACACCTGCATATCGGGTTTATGTCTCTCGGCAAGAGCATGCTCTACGTACGAACAATTTCTAAAACGACGCAAACTATTGACAAAAAGTTGACGAAACAAGAAGACAACAGTCTCGTTTATAGCCATCATTTCGAAAGTTGTATCATCGATACAATGACCTTGTTAGCAAATAAAATTTATCATAAAGTCAAGTGCTAATTGACTTTTTCATACTAACTGTAAGGCCACACACTGAATAATCTACGGATTTTTCCGTTTTTCTCCATCATGATAGGGAGCGCACGGCGGGTGTGACCGGTTAGCAGGGGATGCTCACTCCTCCATGGCACCTGATCTCATCTCCGATGATGTTTTAGAGGTCCGTGTTTGCTCTAGTTCTGATTTGTTTTGTTTGAATGAACATTTTGGCTTGAAACCTGTTCGTTATTTACATATTTAATTTAACCTCTGTAATACATAATAAACATACAGAATATCTTAAAAGAATGACAGTTATTTTTTGCCTCTTTCCACAGATATATTAAACAACGGAAGACAACAAAATAAGGTTGATCACGGACAACAAACTTTTGGACCACCTACAACACAAAGTTACGGACAATCCCAGCAATACGGACAAGGGTACCGTTCACACGTTGGATACAGCAGATAAAAGCTAAAGGAAGTAAATTTATAGAATAAAACAAAACTACTTTTCTGTTGAAAGCAGGAATGATTCCGACTTTCCATAAATAACCAACATCGTCACAAATATGACAATTACTACAGTAGTTTGACTTCCTACTTGAGAATTAGCAAAAAAATTGCAAGTTAAACACTACAGATGTTTTAACTTTTATGCCATAAATGTCTTCACATCATAATTTTTGTGTCAATAATTTTATTTCAGATGAGTCTTTATTTTTCTTACTCATTAATTTACATTTCTCTTTTAAAGGACTAGTATCAAGAAGTGGAAATCGTATTTTTGTATTATCGATGAAAACGATCGTTGTACATATATATAAGTCACATATTTTTATACTTTCTCTTCAACATGGCTCTTACAGAAGCGGAAAGGAAATTTAAGCTTTTGTTCCCAGGATCAAGAAGCAGACTTAGACTTAAGTCAAAATGTGTCAATTGTTTTAATTGTTTACGATAGAAACAACAGGAAATTTGAAATGTTACATGTATTAAATCTTTTGTTCCTTTCATGCTTTTAATCTTAATTTTCGAGAATCGGTTTCTCATAATTATTTATTTTATGACTGACTGAAATTCTTACTTAAGTCTAAGACTGCTTCATGATCCTGGGGCCTGGTATTATTAGAACGTGACTTATCCTTGATTAAATTTGTTATCTGAATAATAATGGTTTGTATATTTCATGTATAAAAAAGGTATGATGATTTCTAGTATTCATTATTCAGGAGCTTTCATTATTCCTCTTATAACACGGAGTTTTGTAGTAAAAGAGAACTTTGTAATATTTGCTAAATCCGTAACATTTTTTGAATTAAATATGGTTCTAAAAGGGCAGATGTTACTTTCAATGTCTTATATCTACCGCCTATCGGTGACATTGTATTTGTAGTATAAATATTTTATATAGGAAGAATTTAACTGTTTAATTATTTAGTTGGCAAGAAGAAGGTTCTGAGAATAACTTCATAAAGAAGTTTGGTTTCCAAATTCAACAAACCAAAGCTCTTTGTGACGAAATAAGGATGAGGGAATTTTATACAATTACGCTCAATGTAATAAATGGACATTTAGGTATGTTAGATATTAGGTATCGGTCAAAATTCGGTCATCTCCGTCTTTCGGAGAAAGCAAATGAAATAAAATGCAAAACACACACGATAAAAGAAAAAGTAATGAAGGCAGTTAATAGTAAAATTGTTTAATTGTTTGTCTGAGTTGAATAACAGTTCAAACTATGGAATCATACCTTGGGTATTAAAGGTAGCACATCACAGCACTTTTTGATGACGTGCTACACAGAAATAAACCTTCAGTATTTCCTGTGATCTCGTGTGGTGACGAATTGACTACATTTTCGACTTTAATGTTCTGTCTCTTTAAGACTAAACCATCAATCACAGTGAAAACAAAAAGAGGATTTTGCATAAACCAAAAATGAGACTTAAAAGGAGAAGCTACAGATAAAGGAGATGGGCACATCTTTTTTTTTTTAGAGGAAAAAATATTTTTTCCAATGAAATCATTGATAAACAATGAATATTATGAAGTGTCGTGAAATTCTTTACATGTCTGAAAAAAAAAAAATGTTATTCAATACTTACATTTCCTCAATTTTATTGATCAGAAACTTGAAAATTAAATCAAAAAGGTAGATAACAATTAAAACCTGATTCATGAAATGAATTTCTGTAGAATTTTCCACTTTATAACAGCCACCGATTGCCTTTATTAATTAAAGTAAAGGAACACTTCTGTATGTACATTTTAAAGAAAACCTTAGCCAAATGATTACCGTTCTAACGTCATTTGACTCAACAATAGAGAGCCTTTGTCTCTAGTGTCAGTAGTGGATGCCTAAAAACTGACAGAAAATCCCACTATACAGCCAGCTTTTCTTGGGGGAAGAACTACAATATACAA